GTGTGTGTGTGTGTGTGTGTGTGTGTGTTCTCGTAGATGGCTCCATCTGTGTTTGAGAGTGTTCACACACAGGACCCCTGTGTGCATCTGCCATGCTTCACATCTTGCTCCTTTGCCCCCTGAATGAGCAATACAAGTGACTCACTTCTCCATGCCCTCTTGTAGTTTTCCTTTAAAAAATAAATAAATAAAAACTTGAAAACTACTGAATTAAAACCAAGAATAAGTCAAACATGTTTTTTATTTTAGCGATTTATCGAAAGAGCGTTCAGGAATTTTTGGCATGCTCATTCTCGCTCTTTACTTCACCCTCCCAAACCATAAATGACAAGAGACCGTCTCCTTCTGTCATCTTGTATATCATTTAAAACATAACTTGGGTGATTCATGTGTTTGCGCTCCACCTCTGGGCCGCTGACTTCTCATCATCTGAGCTAGAGCCGGGCAACGAAGCCAACGTATTAAATCTCAACAGTTTTCACTGCTGCTCTGTGATCTAAATAAACTTGAGGATGAGTATAATTAAAAACTGGCTACACTTTTTTTTTCCCCCAAACAAAATTATGTAAATTTTGAAATATTAAGAGTTCCATTTGGAATTAAACATTATGAAACATAATTAAAGTAAAGCTGTTTTTTCTCTGGCTGTCTGACTATATTTTTCATGTCTGGTTGAAAAACGGGACTAAACTACTTTCTGCAAAGTGTTTGTGGCTCTGAGGTTTGTTCTTCAACCCACCTCGTCTTGTCAAATGTGATGAAGACGGAGAAGTGAAAAATAAATACTTTGTCTGCAGTTTTCTGGTCCTACGACAGCATCTTCTACTACACAACCATTTTAAAATCCAGATGCATCTCAGTAATCCAGGTAGAAAAATGTATAAGAACCCATCCAGAGGACCTGACTCAACTTTGCTAGACATTTTAAATCCTGTTTATTTTGGCATTAAGATAGTACCGGTACAACTTGAAATTATATCATTAATTTGCTGAGTGCTTAAGCACAATCTTTTTTGAAATTTGATTTGGTCATCACATCTACTGCTTTTATAAATCAAAATTACGGTAGCAGTTTTTTTTTATTCATTTCAAACATGAGTATTACTGCAGATAGAGCTGGGTGATATGGTCCAAAAAAATCTCAGAATTTTTTCATCCCAAATTCGATTTTAATCGATTTTGTTTCCCACTTAACGGAGTGCCTCTGTTTCAGGAGTTGAAACAAATTTGTTGTACCCCTGCTTTTTGTAGCAAGAGCCTTCAAACAGATTTTGCAGTGAGGTGTTCCAAGTCCAAGTTTGCAAAACTTAACCAGTTCCAGATAACTGAAGAAACAGTGGCTTTTTTGGGAAGTAGATCCTCTTTGCGAGCTGCCATATTGCCATGTCGTGTACTAAGCGTCTTGAGGGACAGGTGGGGTGACCTCTGAACAACAGAAGCCCAAAGTAGGAAAAAAAATCCTGATTTTCCCTAAATTAAATCTTTATAAATGGCAAATTCAAATCAATCGATTAAATTGATTTATCACCCAACCCTAACTGCAGATTTTCTCTTTATTTGTCTCTTAGCTTGTGGTTCATGAGTTTGACAGTGGCCTTTGTGACCGTAGACGTCTGTGTCCTCTGCATGATAAGCCCCCTTCCTGCACATGCTGACTCTGCCTATCTGCCTGTGTGTGTTTTAACCTTTTTTTTCCCCACTCTCTTTGCTTTTCCACCCTCACCCTTCCTCCCACAGGGCGTGTGTCTCTGACTCGGGGCGCCTCTCTGCTGGTGGAACGGCTCACCCTGGAGGACGAGGGCTGGTTCGAATGTCGCATCCTTCTCCTGGACAGCAAAACCGATGACTTTCAGAACGGCACGTGGACCTTCCTCTCAATCACAGGTGCAGCACTGCAGGGTCTTGGGGACACGGAAGCTGCTCGTTTAGTCGCACATCACTGGCATTGCCTTTATTTAGAACCATCACAGCATGAGGCCCGGCTGCAACTGTGACAGCTGAATTTCTTGTGTGTTATTACTGTTGTTTGTTTGTTGCACTGAGTCCATATGGTGCTCGCATCTTTATGCTTTCCTGCTGCACAGAACCAGATGATGCATGTGGGAATAGGGCTAAAGGTTCAAAGCTTTTATCTCACATATGTCCTCCTTTCAGGTCTCACATGTGCACACAAAAGTTATTGCTCTCCACACAAATGAAAAAGTCAATATTGTTTTGCCCTTGTCTGCTGTTTTAGCAAAATATCTCATGGAACCACTGGGTGGATTTTATTACAACTTTGAGAAAGTAATCATTGGATATACTGTATGTCCTGATGCATCTCAGTAATCCAGGTAAAAAATCAAAATGATAAAAATTGTATAGGTCTTCTGGACGGGTTCTTCTCTAATGAAACGTTTGGGTATACAACTGGATAAACAATTTGGATATTGGATATACAACTGAATAACTGGACACATGCAGATTAAGTTACATGCCTCTCACTATGGAGAGTTGTTACAGTTTCTGTCTGCGAGGCTCACAAGTCATATTTTGGTCACATGCCTGAAGGTGTGCATTAGAGGGAAACTCACTGGGTATCGGGCTTAAGGCTACCTTGTACGTTTTAGAAAGCTGAAATCTGATGCCCCGCTCCAATGCTTAAAGTTAGCTTTTCTCATCTGACATAAATGACTTCCTTTACCCCTCAAGCCCTCTGTCTTCTCTCTCTAAAATATGAACATGTTGGTGGAAGGACAGATCTGGTCCAGGCTAAAGTTAGTTCTGTTGTTCGTTTATATCTTGTTGAAGTTGATTTCTGACAGTTTCTACTGCATCTGATGTGGCTATGACATCAACATATACGTACAAGAGTTTCACCTGGAGCCAGCTTCAGTTGAATGTTACACAAGTATATGATGTCGTGTTTCCAACAAGAGGAGCTAAAAAATGTTTAGAAACATTATAGATCACTGAAGTTATGCTGCTGACGATGGGTGTTTGTAGATTTTGTCCACAAAGACATAGAATGGCTTCCCCTGGATATAATCTGCAGGACAGTGATCGATTGATTTCCATGTCTTTTCGAGTTTTTGCAGATAATCCAGCCCATTCTAACTCCCAACTCGTCACATATTAATGCTTTTGCAAGGTTCCCTCTGCATCCGGTTTTGACGTGTCTTGTACACCCCTCGCGTCAGTTATTAACAACATGGGGTGGAATCTGTTGTCATAATTTCAGAAAGTGTAGAAAATGCACAAATCTAACCGTCCCAAAGCCTAAAATTACCTTTATTCACTCTAGACCAGGGGTGCCCAAGCATTTTACTCGAGAAGGTCAAAATGAAAATCTATCCGGGGCTGCGGGCAAAATGCAGCAATATAATACATGAAATACAACTACTTTTTAATTAAAGTCGTTTATTTTTAACTGTTAATCTAGGAACCAGAGTGATGGTCCACTTTTGTTTTAGTCTGTGCACTTGGAGAAAGTCTGCCATACTCTCAAGCAGCAAATGCTTATGATGAGACATTTCATAAACTGATAAAATATGAGTTTTTGTGGCCTTGTAAAGTGTGCAAATCTACATGTGTGTTTGAATCTAATCTAAATATCTCTCATTGTTATTTGTATTTCATGTTTCATGTTTAATCTTAATATATCAAAGATAAAATCTGCACCATGAGTGAAAACAATCAGCACTACAGCCCCTTATATAGTCAGTGGGCAAATGAATACAATTACTTTAAGTGGAAATATTGTGTTTCTACATAGTATGACAAGTTACAACCTAGTACTGTAACTATGGTGGCATTTGCTGATGGGCCAAATCAAATGGCTTGTCGAGCCAAATTTGGCCCACAGGCCCTACTTTGGGCTCCTCTGCTCTAGACATCCTGTCCCTGACCCTAGTACCTAAAATTAACCATCAACCCTGAACCCTAAAATTAACCATTTTTACAAAGTGTAGGAAATTCATGTCAACTACATGTCCCAAAGCCTAAAATGACCTAATATTCACCCTAGACATCCTAACCCTGATCCCTAATATTAACCACGGACACCGAGGGAACCTGGAAATGCCTGGTGCATCAAAAACTGACGCGACAGGGTTACCCGACACGTCAAAATAAGACGCAGAGGGAACCTTGGAAAAACATCAGTATGTGACGAGTCAGGAGTGAGAATGTGTTAGATAATCTATGATCTTTTTGTGGTTGCTGGTTGAACCTCTCTTTGAGGTCTTGTATCTGGTGTTGTTACTCAGTAATGTGAGCCAGACAAACAAAGACCCAGGATCTGATAGTCATTCACAACATGTACTCTCTGAGCTCTATGTACAGTATTGTCCAAGATTATTGTCTAAAACCTTGGCATGACATGTTTTTGGTATCAACCCGATTTGTCTGTTAGCAAAATATCACTTGAACAACAGGGTAGATCTTAATGAAGCACTCAGAAGATAATCATTGGATTTATAAATCAGAGTGAGTTGACAACAAATCAACTTAGGCCAACAGAAAATGTCTGGTCCTAAAGGCAGTGGGTAATTTGCATTTCTTTGATTCTTTGCCTTTCATATAAACTGTATTAGTGTTTTATCTTGAGTGTGACACTCTAGTGAATAAGAGGCCTGCATGCTGCATCATGTTGCAGGTGACCCCTTTAATACGTAACTGCATAAGAACCTGCATGTATTGAATTTCATATGTTGTTACATTTAGCCTTTATTACACTACAAACTGAGTTTTTCACACAACCAGAAAATTCTTTTATATGTTTTCCAGTTGTGTGATCGTGTGCTGTTTTAACATAAACAATCTCACTTTATAAATCCTGGTTGTGTTGGATATTAGCAAAGGTGCCACAAAAGCTCTGTTGTCATTTGATGCTATGTTTATAAAGAGAATAATTTCTCTGAGCTTTACGGGGACTTCCCAGTGATGTCATGAAGCTGTTCCATTCGTTTATTGTTAAAAGCAGCGTTTCACGTTCGAAACACCCCTTTTTGGTAATTGTGTTTTTCCATCTTTGTTCCAGCTCCACCTGTGTTTGTAAAGACACCACCAACGTTTGTGGAGGTTCTGCTCGGGGACTCGCTGACTCTCAGCTGTGGAGCCCATGGCAACCCGCGACCGACAGTCGTCTGGCACAAAGACGAGAGCCCAATTGAGAAACATGAAAAAATACAAGTGAGGCACATTAGCAGGTGGCATAGAAGTGTTCTAATTAAATACTTCATTCAGTAGTTCTGCAGGAAGGCCGCAGGAGCTTTTGTTTGGACCGAACTGTGGTTACTTGATTATCAGACTCTTTACCCTGTCTTCATTTCAGGTGCACAACGGTACCTTGTCTCTGGGCTCGGTTACACAAAACTTTTCAGGGGTGTATAAATGTCATGTGTCGAACTCAGAGGGGAACCTGACCCACTCCACGCAGATCCAGGTCCAAGGTCAGTGTTCAGATTTTGTTTAATGCTAAAGAACAACACACAGCTGTTTGTTTCACATTCTTAAAGGGATCCCTGATTAGTTGTAACATTAGACTTTATTTGATAAACATATATTTTAACTGTAAAATAAAGACTAAAAAAACACTGTAGGCTGTTTAGTTTTGTAAATTTTTGAAAATATATTTTAACACGGACAGAGCCATTTTATTTACACGCAAAGCATTCTGGGTAAATGATGACATGGATAGGTCCTCGGTACGAGGCTGCTAGCGAGCTATATCCACCCTGAAGGTTAATCTTGGACAATATCTGATGATTGACTCTTATAAATGAAACCAGAGAGCGTTGACAGAGAGGAGAAGGTAGAAATGATTCAGCCTGTAACTGAAAGTATGGATGGAGGACAACAGAGCTGCTTCATGGAAGAACCTCAACTTAGCCTGTTAGCCTTTGCACTAGCGCCAACGCTAAATTGCCTTATATGTATTAGCTCGGTGCTAGCGCGACAAACTGACAAGCTAAACTGAGATCCTCCATCAAAATTTTCAGAGGCTGCGTCATTTCTACCTTCTCCTCTCTGTCAACGCTCTCTGGTTTCATTTAAAAGAGTCGATCATCAGATATTGTCCAAGATTAACCTTCAGGGTGGATATAGCTCGCTAGCAGCCTCGCACCGAGGACCTATCCACGTCGTCATTTACCCAGAATGCTTTGCCTGTAAATAAAAGGGCCCCATCCATGTAATATATTTTTTAATTTTTTTGTTTAAAAATGATAAAAACTGAAGATCCTACAGTATTTTTACAGTCTTTATTTTACAGTTAAAATATGTTTATTAAATAAAGTCTAATGTTACAACCATTGCTAAGACTTAAAGAAACATGGTTGCATATGGTTGTGTACTTCCACCTACAGTACACTCCTTACTGTGAGATAATGCAGGACTCACCGGCGGTCTTTACTGATTTGTTCTTTAATCCTGAAAAGGTCCACCAATCATCATCATTTCCCCCGAGGACACCACCCTCAACATGTCCCAGGATGCAGTGCTGCAGTGTCAGGCCGATGCCTACCCTTCAAACCTTACCTATGAATGGTTGAAGCAAGGACAGAATGTTTACCATATTGAGTGAGTCCATATTAGATAAAAAATGCATGACGATATTAAGCACAAGAACATGTCACAGTATGCTGCTCTACAAAAAGATCTTCCATCAATATTTACAGGAATCAATCGGGTGTTTTTCTAAAGCGTGCCACAAATGCAATTAGTTCTAATTAGATTATTCATGAGACAGTTGCGTCACGTGATCATGAGCTTGTTGTGAGGCTGACACAAAAGAGATTGTTGTTTAGATTTTTTCCTCTCTGCATTAAAAAAATACTGTTTTGTGTCATATCTAGTTTGATATCTTCTTAAAATGCATTACATTCTCTGTCTTGTGGATTTTAGGTCCCTAAAGTCCAGAGTGAAGATTCTGGTGGATGGAACTCTTCTGATTCCTAATCTAATCCCAGAAGATGCTGGGAACTACACATGTATTCCAACCAACGGAATACTGACCCCGCCCTCAGCTTCTGCTCATTTAAAAGTGAAACGTTAGTCTGATGTCCTCCCAGTCTGTACAACCATGCTCATCCGGGTTCCAGAGGAAGATTGCGTATTTGATATTTAAAGACAACTTTATTTGTTTATATGTAGTGGATTATTCTTTCTTTGTGTAGATCCAGCTCGTGTTGGACGAATGTCTCGGGAAACTTACCTGCCTGCAGGAATGGAGGGGGTCATTTTCTGCCCTGTTCAGGCCGATCCTCCGGTTCTGTACGTCAACTGGACCAAAGATGGGAATAATTTGAATCTTGACAATGTAAGCTGCTGCAAAGTGTTTTCTAGAGTCTTTTGCAAAGTCCCAGGGTTTGATGTGTGAAATGTTTCTGTGTTAATCGGTTTAGTTTCCAGGTTGGATGGTGAACTCAGAGGGTTCCGTTTTTATAGCAACAGCCAATGACAATGCTGTTGGCATGTACACCTGTACTCCCTATAACAGCTATGGCACTATGGGCCAATCAGAGCCCACCAAAGTCATTTTGCAGGTAAAGTTACTGCTCTCAGATTTAAAAGAGATTAAAATAATACCTGCTGTCCCATAAAAGTAAATGAATTGTTTTCTTTTAAGGACCCGCCATCGTTTCGAGTTCTTCCTCTGCCGGAGTATCTCCAGGAGGTCGGCCGAGAGTTGATCATCCCCTGTGAAGCCAGTGGAGACCCTGCTCCAAATGTCACCTGGAGCAAGGTATGGGCAGTTTTCTCCCTTGATAGACCCTCAGTTATAACTGACCGCTTCCTTACTTCAACTTATTATTGTTCTGCTCAGATCGGTCCTACTCCTCGCTCTCCGTACACTGTGTTGTCCAACGGCTCCCTCTTGCTGCAGCCGCTGAGCAAAGATCATCATGGGGGCTGGGAGTGCTTGGCTACTAACCGTGTGGCCACTGTCAGTGCAGGCACTGTGGTCATTGTGCTGGGTGAGTGAGTCAGTAAGATGCTTAGCACTAAAAGTAAGGAAATTTGAGTATGGTCGATTATTTTTTGTATCAATGCTTCTTGGCAATAAATCTTTTATTGGACACCTGATTGGCAGCACCTGGGGCAGAGATGATTTGGCAGTTTTTTTACGTGCACAGCCCACATACTCAGATCTACTGCTCATCCTACAAATGCATGTTCCTTACAAATGTGGCACCATTAAAAAAAGAAATTAACAGGCTTTCAAACTTATTGCCAAGAAGCAATGTTACAATACAGAAATAATCTACCAAACACAAGTATATAGATATATATTTTTCATGTAGTTATAATATGTTGTTATTCTTAAATACAGGTCAAGTCAGATTCACTGATGCATTTCTGTATTTCTCAGGCACCAGTCCTCATGTCGTGACCTCTGTGAATGTCACCACTGAAATGCACCAGGCAAACGTGTCCTGGGTCTCAGGCTTTGATGGTGGATTTACTCAGAAGTTCACTGTTTGGTCAGTAACCTGAAATACCCACAGTGACACACGTTCACCTGCCGTCAACAGGAAGCATGACTTTTGAATTATTTTTTTTAGGGTCAAACAGGCATCCAGGGGGAAACACGAATGGGCGTCTCTGCCTGTGCCAACATCCAAACACTACCTGCTTGTCACCGGCCTGCTTGCTGGCACCGGCTACCAGTTTAGTGTCCTACCTCAGAATAAGCTTGGCTCAGGACCGTTTAGTGAGATTGTATCAGTGCGAACTAAAGGTTTGTGTGGGAGAACTTGTTTTCTGTTTCGCCTCATCGTTTTGCTCATAATAAATATCTCCTTGTGTTTTTTATCCAGCGGTGCTGACAGATCTCCCTAAAGCCGTCACACCACTCCTGGCCCTGGATCCTCCCACACTCCTGTCAGCTAATCTGACCGAACAAGGGGTTCTCCTCCAGTGGCTGCCTCCGGAGGCTCCAGTTTCTCCACTGACGGGTTTTGTGCTGCAGACCCGGCTGGATCAGGGTCAGTGGGTCATCCATAGCAGCAACATCAGTGCCAATCAAAGTGAACTGCTTGTGCAAGGACTGCTCAGGGTAATCTTGCTTACTTCTCACAAAATAAGGTGCTCATCCTAGGAAAGCTAGTTACTTAATCAAACTATAAACCGCCCTTCTCTCAGGACGGCATGTATGATTTGAGGCTGATGTCTCGCAGCTACAACGTTCTAAGTGAACCGAGCAGGTCTGTGACTGTATCCACAACAGGTACGTTTGATTTAGCATTATTATTCTGTACATTAATGCAGGGGATCTTAACTTTTTTTCACCTCGGGGCCCAATTTGTTGAACATAAAGTGGCACGAGGCCCAGTCAGACATTACCAATTTACAGATCAAAATGATAATTATTCTAAATCTTGGTTTAATTTGTATTGCATTTGCCTTATAACTAAATTAAATACACTTACAGTTTAAAAGTAAAACTCCTGTCAAATAATCGCAAAACATGATTATAACAAACAGTTTTATATTGTAACCTGCCCATAACAATTATTTGAACAAATACAACAGTCAGTCAACAGACCACTCAGGCTTATCAACATAAAAATAACATTTTTTTACATAAACAATAACAAAAATAAACCATTCAATAAATAAAATTGTGGACATAAAATCAATACATTCAAAATGTTTAATGTTTCAAATTAAAAAAACTGTAAAAATTAATTTGATAAATTGCAAATGAAAATATAGCCTTTTTAAACCTTTGCATGGTAGAACCAGAAGCTGATCTTCATATTAGTGACAAACAATAACAGTAACAACAGYTTTTTGACAAGTTTAAAGTTTCTTTAAAATACATTCAAAATTTTTAAAAATAAACTACAAAAATGTATTTGATAAGTGCAAATTAAAATTTAGTTGTATCTGCAAATGTATTTGATAATGTTTTAAACTTTTAAAGTATTGCATGGTAGAACCAGAAGCAGCTCTTCATATTAGTGACAAACTTTGGCCTGTTTTGATGGGTTGCTTTCATTTTTGCTTCTACTTTTCATTTCCACTCTCGGCTGATATCTAAGGTTCTTCTTCTATGTATTAAAAAAAGTTGTTAAACATCTGTGTGGTGCACTACCGCTACTAGTGGTGAGAAAGTGTATTGCATCTTATTCAAACAGTGCGGTCCCGCGGACCTTTGCGGCCCAATGTTAAAAGCTGTTGTTCTTTTGAGGCCCATGGGTTAAGATTCTCTGCATTACTCCGGATTTATGCTGCATGTGTCTCCGCTGTGCAGGTTGCAGCTGTGTGTTTCAAATCCAGTTTACACCACCTCTGCTCCGCTCCAGTCCGACAGACGTGCAGGAAGCAGATCGCGCGATAAATTCAGTGATAAATGTGGAAGTTACAGCAAAAAATAATTAATTCTGTGAAAGACGTGCAGGAAGCAGATCGCGCGATAAAACGAACTCCAAACAGCTGAAAACGATATAAAGGCTTTTAAAATCTATGTTAAAACTGTCTCGCTGTCGGCTTTCTGAAACTTCTAATTTCAAAATAAAATCCACGTGTATCGTGTGTGTATTCATGCTACATGTTTCCATCTGCTTCCCAAACAGAACGATACATTCTGACAGCATTTGTGTAGAAGTATAGCCGCATATTTATTAATATAGCTGCAATTTCGACATTATTCCGACAAATTATTCCACCGAATAGTGTCTTATTTTGAAAATACGGATGTTGTGCTCGTGTCTTTTCCTGTTGGTGCGATGTAATCTTTACATCTTTACATTTAATCAAGTACACTTCGCTGCAGCATGCAGAACAGGGCGGTGACGGACCTTTCCGTCAGTCCCATACCTTATATGGAAAATGGGACTATTGCATTCCGAACATGAAGGGGGCGCTAGTGACACTATTTTCTATCGAACACTTTCAACATTAAAAATACAATTTTAACATTTCCCGTACCAACCGTGTTATAATAATTATAATAATTTCAAAACACCATAGAACACTATCAACATTAAAAATACAAATTTTACAGCAAGGAAATGGCTACAAAACGTGTTATGTCACGTGGTATGTCCCTTTTTCATTTTCAAATCTTTATTAAATCTTTGTTGTTTTTGGATATTAAAATTATATTACAGTAACGGTTAGGGTTAGGGTTAGGGTTAGGCTTTTCTTCTTCCTTTGCTCTCTTAATCCCGCGTCTTTAAGGAGCAACCTTCATTTCCGCAATGCAATAGTCCCATTTCCATATAAGGTATGGGACTGACGGAAAGGTCCGTCCCCGCCCCATTCTGCATGCTGCAGCGAAGTGTACCTCAAAATTGACTCCGGCGCTGCTTCGGCATCCGGCAAAAATAGGATCTGTTCTAATTTTGATGGATCGCCGTCCGCTCACCGCTGCCCTGCGCCGCCGTGCGCAGCCAGTGTAAACACTCTCATTCATTATAATGGCTGCGTATTTGCTGTGGAGGTCGGACCGGAGCGGAGATGGAATGCAAGCAATGTAAATTGGGGGTTAGTGGACATTCAAAAAATAGTTTATTCAATAAAGAACCTGCTATTGTTGACTCTGGTTTGTTTACAGGAATGGAGATTTACCCCCTGGCCCCAAGTTTCTTAGAGGTCATCCCTGAGCCGCTGTTGGCTGGTGTGATCGGAGGAGTGTGCTTCCTGTTTCTTGCCATCGTCCTTTCTTTAGTGACAGCGTGCTACATGAGTAACAGAAGACAGCTGAGACGCAGGAAGAAAAAACAAGGTAAGATGAGCATTTTTTTCGAATACGTAGATTTTGTTCATGTTAGCTCAGTTAAATACACAAATGAACATGTTTTATTACCTGCAATGCTTTTTAATGCTCCTCTCACATTTTTGTAGACCTGCCAACTGCTTTTCAGAAGAGTCCATCTCAGGAGTAAGTGTCTGCATGAGTTCATTGAATATTTTTCTTTACCTGTACTTTGTTCATGTGCATTATGAGTCACAGTTTAATGACTCGTTTTTTTTTTGTTTGTTTTTTTGTGGGTGTAACATATTTGAAAACAATTCTATTATGGTATTTCTTTTTCATGTTTTAAGTCGTCCTTTGTGTTTGTGTTTTCAGAGTTCGCTCACCTCCATGCAGCCCAGACAGCGTCCTCAAGTTGAAGCTTTGTCCATCTCTTCCCTTCTTTCCCAACTCCACCTGCTCACAGTTTCATCGGTCCTCCTTTAATAAAGGCAGCCGTGGAGAATACCTTGATCAGAAGAAGCAACTTTTGTCCAACTCATCTCCTCCACCTCATTACACACTATTTGAAAGCCACCTGGGTTCTCAGGCACCCTCACCAACTGCCCTAGAGTCCATTTCCAGAGGCCCAGATGGCCGCTTCATTGTTCAGCCGCTGCCGCAGAGTTCCAGCCCCTCTACTAAAATACATCTGAAGACGGATATCCTGCAAAGTAATGGTAGCGTGAATGGGTCGGGGAGCAACAGGACATCATTCAGAGATTCTCCAAAGTCGAGCATCAAAAGCTCAGAAAAAGACGAGAGGAAGGACTCTCCTCTTACTGTGGACCTGCCCGAGCTGACCAGGCCCCCCGCATCTCCGGGAAGGGTTCGAGCCATGGCCAGGAACTTCTCCCGCCACGGCTGCTTTTACTCTGATGAAGAACAAGGGTCCGAGACCCTTCTGGAGAGGGCCAGCTTTTATTCGGATAACAGCGAGAAAAAACCCAGCGATTCCCTGAGAATGTACTGCATGTCAGGCCACGCCGAGGACCTGTTCTCCAGTTTAGGAAGGAGAACGAGGCTCCTTGACAGAGACCGGTCGTATCATCCAGGTTACCATCCTGTGCAGAGCCACGTGACCGATGACAGCACCCTCGTCTCCCAGCTCGACAGTGAGCTGGAGAGGGATAGTGTTAACAAGTGTGCCCAACTGGCAAAAGAACGGGAGGAAATCGAGCGGGAGTTAAAGAATTACGCTGCCGACCAACGACATCACAGTCGAGCGAGAAAAGAAAACCATTCCGGTAAAACAAAAAGCCCTCGAACCGATGCGAATAAGACGGAGGAAGAACCTGTTTGGAAGCCTCAAGATGTGACGATCAGGCAGAAAAGCAGGGCTACAGGTGTGACAAATAGAGTGTCTGACTACAGGAGAGCATGCTACTTTGGCAACACCAGCAGCCCCTTGGATAGACTTCCTACGTCTCGCGTTCACTGGGACATTAGCCCCGTCACGTCTGTCACCAGCCTCATTCCTGTTAAGAGCCCTCATAAGAGCACTTCCCCTGGGCCATCTAGAGACACTACCCAGGACTCTCTGGCTATGGATTCATCACAATCCCCTGTCACCCAGAACACCTCCCTCCGTACACTCTCCCCTGATGTCACCTCTGAAAGCCCTGTCTGTCTAGAAACATCTGACAGAGCCAAGTCACCATCTGCTCAGAAAAAGTCTGATATATGTGTGAAGTCCAACTCTGAGCGGAGCTTAAAGGAAAAGCCACAAGGTGCAGGTGTTGTTTCAAAGTCCACACCTGGATTCCTGGATTCACCAGGTAGAAGTTTCTCAGCTACCAATGAGAGGCCTGAATGTTCAGCTTCTGCACCATCTAACCAGACTGGAAGAACTTCAGAAGTAGACTCAACCAAAAGGGATACCAGTCCTTCCAGTTCTTCTAACCTAAACTATGGACATCATGAAGTAGCAGCAAAGGACAAAGAGAGAGGAGCTCCAGACAGGGAGGATCGTTCCAGTTTAGGCTTTTACTCTGATTTAGAGAGAGAAGGCGTCCGAACACAATCCAGACGGAGTGACAAATGTCTTTTCTCTGATAGTCCTAGCCCTATCACAACGTTAACTCTTGTAGAAGAGATGGAGAGTGACCACTCTCAGTTTTCTGTACCCAGAATGTCAGACTCTTTCAAGGCCAAGCCTGCTGCCCCATCCCCCAAAATTTCCCCAAACCAGACAAGTGCAATTCTTGAATACCTGAGCCTTCCAGGTTTTATTGAAATGAGTGTGGATGAGCCTGAGGAGGAGGTTCAAGAGACAGACACGACTGGACAGAGTTCAGAGCTGAAGCCAGACGAATCGAAAGTGGCTAAACCTGACGTGGTCCCTAAAAACTGGGAGGTTCATGTTCAGGGACACCCAGATACCGTCTCGAGCCAAAAACAAACTGAATCTGGTGCAGAGGGCAGCTTCGAGGCTGGTAAAAAACAAGGGCGTAGACGATCCTCCCACGGGGAAACCAGAGTGAGATTCCCCGATGACGTCAGACCGGCCTCACCGTGTTCGGAAAAAACAAGCAAGCAGCTCTACGACGAGAAGATGAAGGTTCGAGTTGGGAATAACAGCACGGGCAGGCCCGAACCCAGACCAGGATCCAGACCAGCTCACACTTTGTTCAGTGCAGCCAAAGGCATGGCGGACATCGTGTCGAAACACACTCAGAGTTTTGTGGACAGGAGTGAGTTTTCATCGGAGCAGCCCCAAAGACAGGTTTCTCAGGGAAGCAGGACTAATAACATTGTGTCTCGAATAAATCAAGCCCCTGTGCCATTTCTAAAGAAATCCATAAGCCTGGGTCCCTGTAGGACTCTCTCAGGAGTGGGCCCGCCTCGTCCTTTCCTCAAGAAATCCATCAGTTTAGGCTCACAGAGGTGGGAGCACTTTGAGAACCCTCGGGCGTACATTTCAGAGAAATGCTACTGGGACGAGTTCCCACACCTGGACGTTAGAGTGAAGTCCTACAGTTTGGGCCGCACACCGTCTTCCCTCCCCAGGCCAGCCCCCTGCTGGAGAGAGTACGTCCCGTTTAGGCGTCCCAGCATGGGGAGCATGGAGAGGCCTCATCACGCACAAAGATCTTCCTACCTCGCTCCATCTGTGTACCCGCCAAGGCCAACCTCGACGTCCCCAATCATGGAGCCTCAAGATCCTCGAATGCAGGCCACTGTTTTCCCAGAGTCTTCCAGGTGGTCTCCCTCTTATCAAGACCCTCTGAGGTCCACCCAGCATCAATATTTACCCATGTCCTCCTCCATCCCTCCCCATCACTTCCAGCACTGGTCAGAACCCAGAGGGGACAGCCTGAGGTTTGTGGACTGCAGGAGAGGCCCTCCGAGGTCCTACCTGCCCCGAGGCATCAGCTGGCCCTCTCCCTATTACCCCCACTTCCCACCCAGAGAGGAAGGAAGCTATCGACATCCCGACAGGATGACGGGGCGGAGCGGCGACTACGAGATCCGGGACGGGGGCAGGGCCAGCTACGCCAGTCAGAGCAGCGGGAGAGGGAGCGCCGGTCTCTTCCGGCAGTCCCTGTCCGTCACGCCCACACTGCTCAGCTCCCCGGAGACCACCGAGGAACACGAGCGGCACCGAGCCGAGCTGGAGCTGCCCGAGAGCAGGAGAGTGAAAAGGTGAAGCACCGCCTCCACACCTGGACTTGACAAACACTCAGGAGCAGCCTCTCTGTGGATGGATTTGTTTATGTTGCCAAAATTTTACTGTTTTTATTTTTGTTTGTTTGTGTCATGTTTGTGTTTTTCGTTGTCTGACCGTGTTTTTGTTTCTAGAAGAAACACATCAGTAGATGAGAGTTATGAGTGGGACTCTGCTGATGCCTGTGTGGACTCGGAGGTCCTGGAGGCCACCAGGTTTGATCCGTCACAAAAAGGCTTTCAGAGAGGGAGGGGGGGAGTTGGATGTGAGCGAGCTGGTGGTCTCCAGGATCAACAGCGGACAGGTGATCATTTATTTTATGTTTTTTATATGTTTGAGTTGTATTTCTTTTTAAACGTTGCATGTACCTCGGGACAGTGTAACGCCTGACGTGATGGTGCTGCATGTTTGAAACCGTTGTGCTGTGATGTTTCTGTACGCTCATCCCATGACATTCCCACCCATGCCTGTTCCTGTCCCCAGTACCCCCTCCAGGCCCATCTCCCCCAGTCAGCCCACCAGTTTCCAACCCTCCTCGCTGCGAGTACAGCCGCTCGCTAAGTGAAGCACGCTTCAACGCTCTCCGCCTGGAGTACCAAGAGTACAGACGGGCTCGGGCCTCCATCTGTTCCCGTGATCCCTGCGCCACCCCCGACCGTGATTCAGACTCTGACTCCAGCTCAGCTCTGCTCTAGCAGCTGAACTCGGTCCGTTACTCTGCCTCTCCTTCCACCCTTATCCTCTTCTTTTTTTTTTCTTTTCGCCTTCTGCTGCCCGCCTGCTTGAGTATTTCTCCTGCATGTGCTGTGAATTCATGCATGCCTAAACTCGTGCTTCTCAGCTTGTTTTTAAAATGTTTGAACCTTATGTAATTACTAATCTGCTGTCTTTCTGTCTCGTTCACAGGTACACCTAAGACGAAACACAGATAGCATTTATATCAAACAGAAGGCAGCACTCAGGTTGACGACACTGGAAACGTTTGGAAGTTTTTATTTCTCTGTTACAGAACTTTAGAGACGTTGCATCCCATCGTTACATGTTTTCAGACGTGTTGTTTTTCTTGTAATTATTCTGTTCTTGTTCTTTGCATAATGGAGTATCCAAGAATTATTTTACTACCTTTTCCTAAGAAATGGCTGCCAGTGTGTTTTGGGATTTTGTTGAACTTCGACAATCAGAAATGAAACGCTCATGGCAGCAATAAAAGTTTCCCAGTTGAAAACTGAGAAGATCTGCTTTCTAAAAGCAGCAGTAGTTTTATTCATTTGAAGGATGCTTCTGTTCAAGAGTGACTGTGAGAATGTCTGCGTCTGCATCGGTGCTTGATTCCAAACAAATGGTGCTCCACACGTTCTCCACGTACTTCTTATTTACGTTGTTCTATTGAATCTGATTTTTAAAATTTCCAACATTTGTACAAATGGCAGTTTTATTACCCTACAAGTTTATTTCAAAGAGTTTATTAGCTGTGATTTAACTATTTCCTGTTTGATCCGTTATTTCAGTATTTGTTCAAAATATACATTTGTTTATATATAGTTTATTGTAAATGAAGCCTGCTGATGTTTTATAAATTCCTCTTCGTGATTTTGTCGAATAAGAAAAATCTCCACTTTACTTGACTCAGTCGAACTTTCACAGATTAAATGAATTTTGCCTTATTTTTTGATCATTTCCAAAGCAACAGAACAGAAACTAGTCAAACAAAAGTTTTATACCATACCTTTTTCACATTGTTTGTATTTCTGTATATTTATTAAGATGAGTGACGATATGCAACAATGTTTACATTTCACATGACTGATGTGAAGACAACACTGTGAATATTTCATTGACTTCTGATTCTGTATTTGATTTGTAAGTCTGTAATGAAGTTGGTGCCCATTAGCCTGCTGTGTGTTTTTATACTGACGTATGTCAGAAGCTGTTTTTCTACATCACATGACAAAAAGTAACAAAGAATGTTTTTGTAGCTGTGCTTTGAAAAGATTCAACCTTTTGTATCGTTTTTACGTCTGTTTCCTGAACGAAGACCTTCGTGTTTCTCTCATGATGGTGTTGGAAGTTTTGTACAAAGTGGAAAATTTTAAAACTTGCCACAAAGTTTAATTTTTTACATTTTTTTCTTTTGTTTTACTTTTGTCATTTTTATATGTTTGTAATAAATAAACTTTTATTATGAATGCATCGAACGGAGATTTTGTACAGCATTTCTTTTACAGTGGTGTTTCAGCTTATTGAATTTTTTTATATTTCTGCACACATTTGACAGAAGGTGAACCCAGTTTTAAATGAGACAATAATAATTTGCATAAGTTCATTAGTGGGGAAAGATATAATATTATAAACTTAAAACCAGTGGTGGGCAGCACTAATCTAAAAATTAGTTCCACTAACCCTAAAACAAACTCAAATATTTAGGTCCCTTAATTCTAAAGCACTAACACTGAAAATTTTAGCAAAAGTTAAAGTACTAAACCCAGTCAACCCATGAACATTTTTCAACAGACAGCATGAGTCATATTGTCATGTTGCTGTATTAACATTCTGCAGCTTTATTTGAGTTCATATATTGTTAATATGACACAGTGGATAAGTGGCACACATATGAACAAAATGTGTGACAGCTTTCACCCTCAGTTATTAACAATAACATGGATCAGTAACATTTGAAGACCTCAGTGCTTCCAAATTTAGCCTATAAATTTAGCAAGTGCTAATCCACTAAAATTCTAAAATGATCAAAAGCACTAATCAGGAAATTAGTCCCTCTATTGGTGCTGTAGGGGAACTGTGATCACCTGTTCCATCTGTAATGTGGTAGTGATATATACTGTTCAAAAAATAAAGAAAACAACTCAAATAACACACCTTAGATCTGAATGAATGAAATATTCTCGCTGAATACTTGGTTTTATACAAAGTTGAATGTACTGACAGCATGTGAAAAAGTTTTTCAATCAGTCTTGCTTCTTTGATTTCATAGAAGTTTGATTTACTTGGAGCTAGACTGTGTTGTTTGAGTTCCCTTTATTTTTTGAGCAGTATTTTTTTATATATGTTAAAAGAAAGTAACAGTTTTGGAATAAGTTTAGATAATCTACCAGTAAAGCGAGCAACAACCCAGACTTTAAAGAAATTCTCTGCAGGTTTTGTTGCTAAAGGGATCACACTAGGAGTTCAATGTTTTTCTGCTATTAGAGTAAAAGCTCTATTTTCTACAAAGTTAAATGACTAAATGTTACAATTTAACCCTACTAGTGAGCTGAATGTCAACGTCCACAGATATCGGGTTCCATTTATATCAAAAATAAGTATAGCACATATTACTTCTACTTATTTTTTATGTAAACAGAGCCCGATATTTGATTGGTCTGTTGGATCTTTGAGACTTAGTGATCGCAGACCCTGCTTTTCTCCTGCATGGTGGCTACGTTGGTAGAGCTGTTGCCTCTCAGCAAGAAGGTTGCTCAAATCCTGGCTCTGGCTCAGTCCCACAGAGCAAAAAACAAATGTGTTGGAATATTTGATAACTCTAAATTGTCCTAAAGTGTGAGTGAGGGAGTGAATGTCTGTCTCGGTTATTTCTGTGAACCCAGCCCCTCACAGTGACCTTGAAAGAAATGTGAAAAAGACAATGGATTGATGGATGACTGGTGTGTTCATCGTCTTCAACACCACTGTAAACACTGACGTGAACATGGTGACATCACTGGGAGATGAATGTACACGAAGTCGTATTTCAACACACTGCAGCAATTTATGAGCTTCTCCTTCAGAGGACAGATGACTCACTGTCTTATCTCAGACTTCAAGAAGAAGGAAAGACATTAGGAAATGTGTCTCTTAGTTCATAGATAAAGAAATATTTGCCAATATAGAAGTCTTCTGGTAAGATGAACTGTCATCATGTGATCAACTGATGGTGCCTTCAGCTAAAAACGTGAAAATGACCTTTTACCTTCTGAGACATGCTTAGCTCACTTATTTTGTTTCCCCACAATCATTAACTATGAATAAAACACAAACCACATGCTCATTCACTAAAGAAGCTCTATTTTTCAGGTAGGATTTCTTTACAGTACAGAGGTGAACGCTGACTGTCACCATCAGCATTCATTATTTCTCTTCCTGGGTTCAAAGGTCGCATCACTTGGTCGACATCCGCATAACATGTTTGACCATATTTCCAATCCCATCGAATATGTAGTGGTAGTGGTAGTCAGTGTCCCACATGAAGGATGGGGTGCTGACCACTTTGTTCTTCTCGTCCACGTAGGCCTCGTGAGAAGAAAGAGTTAAGGTCAGAGTTGGGATTCAATGCAGGTTGTCTGGTTTAAGTCACACCTGAAGGGAACAGAGAGCTGTGAAAGGATATGTATGGCTCGCGGACGTTGTGGCGAGCGCCCATGCTCTTCACCGTCTGCACCATGTTTGTGTGGGGCCAGCTCCCCCAGCGGGTGTTCTCGTCTCGCTCATAGCCCATGGTCACCTCGATGTTGGGCAGCACACGGCAGGCCAGCACTGGAGCCATGCTGGACAGTCTGAAACACAAGGACACAAACAGTTTTATCCATCCATCCATCCATCCATCCATCCATCCATCCATCCATCCATCCATTTTCTTCCGCCTATCCGGGGTCGGGTCGCGGGGGCAGCAGCTTCAGAAGGGACAGCTGGAGTAGTGCATCCTAAATTTTTCATAAATTAATTATTTTTAATACAACAGTCATTTCTGCATTGTTTTGGGGAGGTCACCTCCTAATAAA